CACTTCCTCTCCTCCCTTCATTGGCACGAATCAGTAAGCTTCGCGAAAATCACGCCATCGACGATGACGTCAATGAGCAGAGGAGCAGAGCACACGGAGATTGGGTGGACCATGATGGCGTCACCTGGACGATCTCCACGAGGCAGAGGGTTGCATATGACAAGGCTGCGGAGATCTTGACACAGATGTTATCGCCATCTCATCCGCGACCCAGTTATCATTCCTTGTACTTCTTTTGCTCTGTTGATACGCTTGGTTCCTCATGCATCACTCTATTCTCCCCTCTTTCTTCCATGCCATTCAATCAGGAGATCGCATAATTTTGGAACCCCCTGCGCGTCACATATGTGACGAACCACTTCCCGAACCCGTGCCATCTTTCGTACCCCTTCTTTTGCTTGTATCATACCGACCCCCAGATAAACCCCGTTTTGATTTCTTGTTTCTTTTCTGAAAACTTTTTCGATTTCTGGGATTTGTTTTTCCTTTTTTGTAAGTCGGGAAATACATGGGAATTTGCGTGCGCTGTAGCAAGCGCACTTGGAATTGGGCTCGACAGTTGGGAATAAGCGGAACTTCGACGTGTCCTTTTCGAGTGTGTGAATGTTCTTGGGCACGTCGGGGAAAACTCTCGGAATTTTGCGTGAATACGAATAGGCGTAGGATTTTCTTTTCCCACGTCGCTTTTTCGCGCGAGAATATCGTGACTTCAATTTTGAATTTGGAGAGAAACAAGCCGTTGAACCTTGAGTTCCGAGGAATCAACATGGCGTTCGTAGAGCACTCCTCTCAAAGTCTTCTCCTTTTGCTTCTCCTCTTACACCTCAGCTTTCCTGTCACCTTCTCCCCCTTCTATCTCCCATGTCGCAACTATAAAACCCGCAAGCGCGTCCACAAATCTCTCTCTTACGTTCTCGACTCGTAAGCCAGCTTCCGGGAAGCAGTGGCTAGGCAGAGTGGATTGATGCGAGTCGGAAAGTCCTGTCGAGCTGACGATAGGCTGGCCGGTTGCGCGCTTGATCGCCACGACGGACTGTGGGATCCGGGCGAACCGTGTCGAGTTTACGACAGCGGGGTGACGATCGCAATGGTGGGAGTTAGCACGCGACGACCGGGATGGTCGGTGCGGGTATGAGGATTGATGATCGGAGTTGTGTGAGTGATTGGCCCGGGGCTATAGTGGAATTAACGGCGAATGTGCCTTTGTTGCGGATTGTTATCCTTGGAGTGAGTGTACGGCGGTGACGCCAAACTTTTCTCTTTCCGGACCTTGTCATCTTCTATTTCGACTTTCTTTCCCTCGACTCTCTCTCTCTCTCCCTCTCTCTCTTTTTGAATGACGATGCGTCTGAATGATTGTCCCTCTCTTGAATGGGAATGAGTCGGCGTCCTGTTTTTGTGTGAAAGAACTTCTTCCGGAACTCTTCCATTAATTTCCTGGGTAATCCTCCTACGCAAGGACCCTGTCTTCTTGTCTTGTGAACGGTGGATGCGTGTGTACTGTGCGATGCGATCCATCTTTTCCTATGCATGTCTCATTTTCGCACCTTCCACAGTGAATGCATGTATGGAAACGTGTGACTCTTTTCGTGTTGATTAGACGATTGTCGTCGGGATTTGGTTCGATAATGCAAGAGTGTTTAGATCTGTGGTTCTGAATGCACTGCGCATGCCATCTGCCTTATGATGCACGACATCAGCAGCTAAGCCACCGGGCGGCCTTGAAAACAAGGCGCCAACGTTGTGTTGAACTGAGCCGCGGATCGGTCCCTTAGTCATATGCATGATCAAATAGATGTGTGTTTTGCTCTCGCTCTTGTGTCCAAGTACCCCTCGATTGGGCGCCAGCGTCCCGTATTTCCCATCGTCACGCGGCCCTTTCCCTACAGCGAGGAAAGGACGCGTGTATGTGAGTGGGACGTACGAGAAGCGGTCGCACAATCGGGTCACTATTACTTCCCTCCGGCTCACCATTGTTGAGGGTTCGTAGACGCTGGATTTGTCAATATCGGTACGCACTTGCCACCCTACTCGATATTGTTGCCGTTTAACGAGCTGATCGTCATTCCGTGGACGGCAGTGGCGCCCCATTCGCCCCGCACTCTGTGTACGGAGTGCCAGCGTTTCGATCGCTACGAAGCGAAGGGCATCCACTACTGAATACGAAATGCGGACGAGCATAAGGAAAGAGCCACTCGGCCGAGACCATCCACGTCGGACTCGGAACTAAGCAAAGAACGACGACGAGATATGATACGAAAACGAGACACGCGAAGCGTGCCAGAGCCTTTCCGTTCTAAACGATGGGCTGTAGCCCGGTGGGAAGTCCGACAATACTTTTTGGACCGAATTTGGATCTTTCTGTTTCCGCGCCATGTCCGCGCGCGTATTCCGCGATGCGCGAAATTAATCGACTTGCTTCATCGGACCTACACGGGGGATTTCAGTTCCATAAGTGTCCCCACACTCAATTTCCAAAAATCCTTGGCACACCCCATCTTGCTGTTTTTCTGGGCCTCTTTCCGCACGTCTCACACTCCGAACAAAAGACAGCACAGGGCGTGAGGTTGCGCGTCACACCCGTGAGAAAAATCAAAGCAGACTATCACTCACCCACACCTGATGGAAAACTCTACAGACTGTCGGTTCACACCCCATCACAGCCAGCAAAACACCCACGAAACAAAGAAAGGTCTGTCACAGCCAAAAAATACACTCTGGACATGCCGATGGCGCTAGAGGCACAACATGGTCGTGTAGTGACGGCCCCGACCACTGCCGCTCGACCTGACCAGAGAAAACCGTAGTAGGGTGCTAGCAAAGTCGTGGTATATATCGTCAAACAGAGCTGCCCAATAAATTGTACGCAGAGAGGGAGAAGAGGACAACAAACGAGGGGCTGTGACAATCTGTTTCGTCGAAGTTTCACCGACTCATCAGGAGGCTGAACCCTCCACAGCCTGCAGAATCCCCTAAGTGATTACACTGTAAGTGATATATATATATATATATATTGTCACATAACTACAAACTAAAAGAACGCACTTTGCGAAACAAAGAATAAAAACAAAAAACGGCCACATTGCAAAAATAAAAACAAAAACAAAAAGAAAAGCAAGGGCAGATTGAAACCATTAAATTTCTCATTCTTCTTTGAACACCACCTCCACTGTGCCTCTCACGTGCAAGGCTCGCCACGTTGATGAAGTTGATCGCGAGCTGCCCCCATCCCCGTATGACATAACAACCCACTTGCACGCTGTGAGAGAGGCAGAGTGAAGGGGAAGGTGTTAAACACAGGGGAAAGAGACAGAGAGAGGACAAACAAAGAATGGAAGAGGGAAAATACGAAGTGTAGAATGAGGAAGAGGGCAAAGGAAAGGGCAAGAAAAAGCTCAAGAATGAGGTTGTCCTTAACGACAGAAAGGACACACATTGTAAGGATGGGGTGGATGAGCGCATGGAAGACCTAACTGAGCATTCTCAAAACAACAACTGCCACGACGGCTGGCATTAAGCATGCCAACCATACATTCCTSACAAATAGCATGTCTATTGCAGGCCAGAATAAAGGAAGAACGCCCCCCACAAAAGAGCACGCATTCAGCATAGCGTCCGTGRCCACAAAATGGACATATAGTGTCCGGATGAGGAGGGTGCCTGCAGTCARGAACGGAGGGACAATCCTGTACACATGGATGCAGAAAACATGTCATGGTAGTGATTATGACGAAGATGATGGCGAGTACACCCAAGTGCAACAGTGTTTGTGGTTGTACAAAGGAGAAGGTCACATAGTGTGTATACATTGTACTGCTGCACTGCGGTGGCAGAGGAATGATCTTCGGCATAAAGGAGATTGCAGACGGTTTGATGCGGCAAGAGAACAGCATCATAGAGTAAGAAATCAGTAATATCAATCATGGCATGGACCATGACACCGTCGTTCCACACCTCCCAATGGTCAGAGGCGTGTACAATAGCCATGTAATGGCSAGGCCCRTGCACAATGCAGGCAGARATGYGGGATGGAGGATTAAACARCTCAYCTGGTAGAGCRTGGCGTAGTTCAAGCTGGCGGTTCCTCATCGCTATTTCTAGGACAGCAATGGTAAAACCTCCTTCCCTGGTGTAATTACGATGCTCTGGCTGTAGGTCGGGGGGATCAGCGAGATTAGCGAGATCAACATCAAGCTGTAGGGCAATTGCAAGAAAATCTGGTGGTGTATACAACGACCGATTGAAAATGTGAAGGAAGCTATTAGTTGCAGTCAGACCACAGAGATTGGCGGGGATCTCGGGCTGGTTTGGTTGGTCAATCATTTGTAGATCACCCGTGGGGTTTGCGCAGGGTGGTGCACAAGTATGCGGTTCATCCATATGATCCTGGTCAGCCATTTGCAAATCCCTCGTGGGGTCTGCGCCATGTGGGATTAAATGCAATCCAAGCAGATCATGTTCCAGTCCCTCAGCGTTCGGGGCCACACAGGGTAGGGCACAAGTATGCGGTTCATCCATATGATCCTGGTCAGCCATTTGCAAATCCCCCGTGTGGTCTATGCCTTGCGGGGTTAAATGCAGTCCGAGCTGATCATGTTCCAGGCCCTCAGCGTTCGGGGCCGCATGTTGTACAGCTGAGGGACAAACGAACATGGAAGGGCATAAAGCATGGTGCTGTGGCTGTGTGCAAGCAGCTGGACTGTGTGCAGGAGGCATAGGAGCGGATGTATCCGTTTGGGACAACGGAACCGCAACAACCTGTGGAGGAGGCACAGAGAAAATTGGGGTAGACAAAGAAGCAGGCTGCTGATCCCTGGCCAAGTGGCGATGTTGTGCATGTCGTCGACGATGATACACAATAAGAGGAGTGGCGATGTTTCTAACAGAAGATGTCACTGGCAATGAAGGCGGAACAATGGGAAGAATAGAAACCGGAGAATCGGTTCTCAAACGAGACCGTGGAGGAGATGGGGGTGGTGAGGAGGAACGCAGCCGTCTGCGGCCAAGCACAGAAAGGGATGAAAGGGGGGTGGATTCGGCAAGATGTCGGAACATAGGACGCGAGTGTCGGGCTGGGGTAGAGGAAGCTATACCAGTAAAAACTATAGCATGAGAAAWTCGAGCTAYAGAAGCAGAGGAAGTGGTAAAAAGTGGAACCGCAGCAGAGACAACTGTTGTAGCAGGAACCGCAGCAGAGGCAACTTCCGTAGCAGGGACCGCAGCGGAGGCAACTTCCGTAGCAGAAACTGCCGGAGTGAAACCCGGAGTTGAAACAGCAGCAGCGGAGACCACAGCGGTGGAAGCGGCGGCGGTGGGAACCGCACCAGTGGAATATATATATATATATGTGTGTGTGTGTGTGTGTGTGTGTGTGTGTGTGCGGGCCATTGTTTCCCACCCGATTGTAATCCTTACCCTGACCATTCTACCACCTGCCCAACACCCAGCTGAGGCTACCAGCTTAGAAACTGCCCCTGGACCAGGGTCGGCGAATGTGGCCACCGTCACCCCATTGCAAGCTCTGACTATTAGGGGGCCTGCTGTATTTGGTGCCCCTGCATCCGTGTTTTCTAGTGGTGGCAGACATTTTGCTTGTGAATCGTTGTGATGCGAACCTACAATCTGCAAGGTATTTCATAAGTTGGCTGGAGGGCAGGCATGCCACAGCACAGCAAGGCACGCAACAGGGCAGGAGGGCAGGCATGCCACAGCACAGCAAGGCACGCAACAGGGCAGGAGGGCAAGCACACACAACATGGCAAGAGGCATGCGATGCGGTATGCACTAGGTAGCACATGGTACAATAAGCGGGCGGGCAGGCGGACGGGAAGGTGAGCAGGCACACACCAACACAACAAAGCACACAGCAGCACAGAAACCTGTCACTGCAAATAGGATCAAAGCGGACATGCTAATCTTCTGTGTATCGTTCCAATTTTAATGGATGTCCTACTCTTCCTTTTCCTTCTGTGGTATATCCCTTCGCGCCAACTGTTTTGTTCGTTATATCTGTACATGTGTGGGCACTGCGGTGATCTTTGGGGCTGGTCCTCTCAGCCTATGTTACTGTCCAAAAGAAAATATATCCTACATTGTCAAAGAACAGGGAATGAGTACCGAGGAGCATATGTGCGAGACAACATAGCATAACTGCTATGGAATATCATTAGAACGCACACACCGTGTGGGATAGCATAGCAGAACTGCTATGGAATATCAGTACAACGTACGCACACACGGCATGCACACTAAAACACCCCCTTTAATCCATCTACATTGAGGAAAGGGGGGGGAGTATCGAGGGGCGTTGAAATATGCTTTGCAAGCACGGAACAGACTGTCGACAGGGTTTAGAAGAGAGGGAGATTTCTGAGAAGGGCCTCAAGATGCTTTCTCACACTTTGAATGGGAGGGATGTCTGAAGATGCTTTGCAGCACGGACATGTGACAGAGGGCGGCTGTTGAAGGGGTTACATGATGCTGTGCACAGGAGGGGGACTGCCATGGGATGTTGAAGATTGTTTTGCATCCCAGGAGGGAAACTATCAGACACAGGCTCACAATGCTTTGCACACACTGTCAGTTGAGGGTGGAGCATCAAGGGGTGTTGCAAGATGATTTGCATGTCTGGGCGTAGGAAGGGAGACTGTTGAGGGGGTTCAGGTGACATTTGAGAGTAGAAAGAGGGATGATGGAGGAGCCGGACAAGATGCTTTGCACATGGGACAAAAGAGGGGAACTGTTGAGGGGTGTCACATAGCGCTGTCCATACAAAAGGCTGGTGAGGGAGAGTGCTGAGAGGTGTTGCAACATGGAGGGAGGGAGAGGAGTGCCAATGTATGCGAGATCCATCGGTCAACAGATGATAGATAGAGCAGATAGACAGAGCAGATAGATAGATAGATACATCGAGAGATCGATCAGTGATTGATAGATAGGTAGGTAGGTAGGGAGGGACGTAGGCAGGGACACAGGCAGGGAGGTAGGCACGGAGGTAGGCTGGAAGGGAGGCGCACAGGGAGGCACACAGGGAGGCACGCAGGGACAAAGGCAGAGAGGCAGGCCTGTAGGGAGGCAGGGAGGTCGGGAGTCGGGGATGTAGGGAGGTTGGGATAGAGGCAGGGAGGCAGGTGGGGAGGCAGCGAGGTAGGGAGTCTAGGGACACAGTGAGGGAGGCAGGCATGGAAGCAGGTAGGCAGGCAGGAAGGCAGGCAGGCAATTAGCTAGGCGGGTAGGTCAGTGGGCAGGCACGTGGGTAGGTGGGCAGGCAGGCGGGTGGGTACGCGGGTAGGCATGTAGGCATATAGGTGGGTAGGTATGTAACTGGTAGGTAGGTAAGTAGGTATGTAGGTAGGTGTCGGTAGGTAAGTAGGTATGTAGGTGGGTAGGTAGGTAGGTAGGTGGGTAGGTACACAGGGAGATAGGTAGGTACGCACGTAGGTATGTAGATATGTAGGGAGGCAGGGAGGCAGGCACTCAGGCAGGGTGGGGGGCAGGCAAGAAGGCAGGCAGGCAAGCAGGGAGGGAGGCAGCCAGCCAGCCAGGCAAACATGCATGCAGGCACGCAACCAGGTAGGCAGGGAGTGAGGCAGGCAGGTGAGGTGGCAGGTAGGTACCTAGGGAGATAGGGAGCGAGGATGGAGGGGAAGGAGAGAGATAGGGAGGAGGGATGGAGGGAGGGAGGAAGGGAGGAAGGGAGGAAGGTAAGGAACGAACAAGGTACGGAGGAGGGAAGTAGATACGGAGGGATGTAGATGGGAAGATAGGTAGCTGGGCAAATAGGGAGGTAGGTAGGGAGATAGGGAGGCAGGGAGGGAGGGAGGTAGGCAGGTGGATAGGTAGGTAGGTAGGTAGGTAGACACGTATGTAGGTAGGTAGGTAGGTAGGTAGGTAGGTGGGTAGGTAGAAAGACAGATAGAGAGATCAATAGGTAGACAGGTAGGTAGATAGGTAGGTAGATAGGTAGGTAGGTAGGTAGGTAGGTAGGTAGGTAGGTAGGTAGGTAGGTAGGTAGGTAGGTAGGTAGATTAGATTAGATAGAGGAGATAAATAGATAGGTAGATTAGACAATATTAGATAAGATTAGATCAAATTTGGTCGATAGATTAATTGATTGATAGTTAAATGGATAAGTAGATAGATAAAATTGATAAATGGATATATTAGATACAGTTAGATGTGTGTGTGTGTGTGTGTGTGTGTGTGTGTGTGTGTGTGTGTGTGTGTGTGAGAGAGAGAGAGAGAGAGAGAGAGAGAGAGAGAGAGAGAGAGAGAGAGAGAGAGAGAGAGAGCAAAAAGAGATGGGCAAGCCCATAGGCAAGTGACTAATGCAGCAGATGGGCAGGCAGTGTGCTCCCGATGTGAAATCCAAGTGGATACCTGGCCTCCTTCATTGCCTTCGAGCTGATTGCACGTTAAGTTCACTTGACAAAATATCCTTGAAGCACAAGACCGGAAACCTCTGCTTGCTCAATAATGAGATTCTTCTGTTTTCCTGGATTTCATTTTGGAATAGTTAGCATGTGACTGCATGCAGAGGTGAACACATAATACTTTGACAAGAATGACTGGTTGGGTGCCACAAGCAATGCTGTCTACCATATCTTCAACACTTCTCTCGGGCCAAAGCAGTCCTTCAGACAAATCCATCCATTCGTCAACTAAGATGAGCTTTAGAATGTTTGACCCACATCTTGTTGTTAGCATAAGTAAGAGAAAGAATTGGCTAGTTCACTCATTATCTTTCCATACATAGTCAACATATCTATGAACTAAAAGAGCGCACTTTGCAAAACAAACGATCTATATACATGCCGTGCACACGGAGCAGGAGCTGTCCTGCCTTCATTTGAAATCATTGCCCGCAAGCTGCCGCCCGACCCGCACAAGACACAGGGTGGCAGCGTGAAAAAAGAGCGTGAAACTCAACGAAAGATTCTGACCCGTACGTGAGGCATTACCTATGATGGAATACGTATGAGTACATGTTGACGGGCAAACCCCAAAAAGAACAGAACTCTCTTAAAAGTAGAAACACCATACCTGTTGCATGCAAGCTCGCACATTGAGTACCCTCCCTCTTGAAAAACACAATAGCAGGCTGCAGAAAGGTGATAGGGTTTGTCTCAGTTCTCAATGCAAGTGTTACAAGTGTTTCCTTCCTCTCGACAAGGTTTGGAAAACGCTCCTCTGCAGCGTCTGCTCCGCTAGCCCCAGCAGTGACGGCTCGAGAACAGTTCAGGCTTCGCCCAGCTCATTCTGACTGGGTCACGTTTCACCCATCGTTCCATTGATGCCACTCAGTTCAGCCTCCAGCAGCAGGCAAAGACGATCAACAAGGTGAACTTGGAGAGCCAGGCGAGGGCAACAGACTGCCAATAGAAGCAGAAACGTCGGCCATCCCACCTTCGTTGTCAGGACAGACCGATGTAAGTGCAACGCCGCATAACCGATGTTGTCCTCCCAAGAAAAGTTGCGTATAAATGTGTCGTCATTGCGTCTGCCCTTGAAGTGACTGCAGAGTAAGACGGCTCATGGATGGGCAACAGACTGCTAATAGAAGCAGAAACGTCCGGTGCGACACTGTCCCAGTTTCATTTTGAGCAGATATGGATGTAAGCGCAACGCCTCATAATGGATGTTGTCCTCCCAAGACATGCCGGATATAAATAAGTGTCGTTATTGCTTCTATTCTGTAAATGACTGCAGAGAAGATGCTCCTGATACCAGAGAAGATGCTCCTGATACCAGAGAAGATGGTCCTGATACCAGAGAAGATGCTCCTCTTACCAGAGAATATCCATATCGGGACTGTTCAGGATTTGGGGCCTGGAGAGAGAGAGAGCTTTTGGCGCCCATCTCCAGACACAATACACAACACTGTCTGTGGAAAAATAATACATGGCATGCCCGATGGTAAGTGACAGCCTTCTAGCTCGCGTAGCCAGCACGAAGGAAACAATTCGACCCACTTGAACTGAGCCACCCATCTTGTGCAAAGATGAAGATGATCCCGAACACTTTGTCCCATCGCGAATGTTGTCGTTTTCATCAGTGGTCGCCATGTTTTCCGAGAGAGGATCGCACCCAACTTTCAGTGATAGCCTGCAGAGAAGTCTAGATCGAAAACGGTCAAGAGAAAAAAGAAAATGCCAGAGCAGTGCAGTTTGATTGAGATTTGAATGAACATAACTAAATATTGGTGGGTAAAGAGGGAAAAATCGCTGTTTGGCACTCTCCGATGTCGATGAGCAAAAACCATACAAGACATGCGTTGTGCGCAAGTGAAGAATATCACCTTTCGTTCTCGGAACGAGTCAACAAATCAATGTCAGATGCGGTTAGGGCATACTCACACACGCGTGGCAAAACAGCAAAAATTGCAGCGTTTGCTACTCCTGGTTTGGCATTTCGCTGTGTTGCTCAGTCACACAGGGGTAGCAAATTGGAAAAGACAATGGCCCAGACGCCCTGCCATGTGCAAAATTGCCCACTTGTGCGGTCACACAGCAAAAGAAGTGGAGGGATGCCTGCAATTCTCTGCTGTGAGGTCACAGATTCCGGGGGGGGGGGGGAGGAGGGGACATTGCCACCGCCGCTAGAGG